ATAATAATAATTATAGAGACACAAAAAATCCTGTCATACAAAACTAAGAGGAGTTTTTTTTTGGACTTTAGCAACCTCCAGTAAACAGTGACACTCAAACAATGACATGTTCATTAAGCCAGCTTATTTTACATTGATTTTTTTAAGTTCCAAATACATTCAAGCTCAAGTTAATGTGTGTAAAAGTACAGTAGATGATGCTCGATAAACACTGAGGAAACTAGACTGGAGTGTGAACCAAATAGAAAAGGGATGAAAGTTTAGGAGTAAAAATGACACAGGAATGTGGGAAACAGTTTTGCGACCCCTGAGTTGGACCAAATTTCCTCCACTTTCCCCCCCAAAAAAAGAAGCGCTGCTGCCTCTGGTTTGCATCTTTGTGGAGAAGAATTGCTCCTGCAGTCGGATAATGAGATCAAACACATCAAAGCTTCACAAGAACTCCTTCATAACCAAAGACCACCTCGAGCAAAGAGGGCAGAGTTGAATGTTTACAATTTAAATTTTAATATCACTGCACTGCAGGTAGGTAACGTTTTGTCTCTAGTCTCTTTTATTATAATCAGAAACTAAATAACTAATATCAGGCTAATATAACTGTATTTTCATCTCTACAGAGTATAATTTTTCTTCACATTTGGCTCAGGTGAACCTCCTCGAACTTGTCTGCCCTCTGTCCTGTAATGATGTTTCTGAGCCTCTAGAGGAAGCTAAAAACTCTGCTGCTGTCTGAACAAGAATACAACCAAATTTAACTTAAAGAAAAAAGGCGAAAACTGCTTGAAGCCCAAATTTTGTCCAGCTTTTTAAAAACCTGTTTATTTGTGAAGAAAATATCTGTTTAAAAATATGTATTTGTCCCATTCTCATGATAAAAACGGGAAAAATATGAGTGTTAATCTTATTACTCTGAGAGAAAAAGGGAAATCAAGTTTGCAGAACCGACAATGGGAGAGTTTTTTTCATGATCAGATTTCAACAGAAATTTATTTTCTTCTTTTGTTTAATTGTTGAATAAAATCGAACTTTTGCTAAACCTGATTCAAGATGGTAACATTTAGCATAGTTGAGCCATTCACAACAGAAACTCCAATTGTGCTGTTATGGAGATATTTATTTAACAAAGACAGAAATACGTGGTCCAAGAATGAAGGTACTCCGTGAGATGATCAGCTGAGTTTTATTGCAACA